AGTGGAAGATATAACTTCTCAATCTTTAGGTTTCTTTTGGTTTTAACATGGTGTAATTCTTAATTCCCTTAAATGTCAGTTAGTAGAATAATTGTGTGGAAAGCTGGATCTGTAGAAAATCAAATGCTTAAAATAGCATGAAGTCTGGCCAGGAAAAATCTGAAATAAATATCTTGTAGGATAACACCTTCTTCAAAATAAGAGCTATTTAATTAAGACATTGAAGCAATAGCTACAGTCTCAGCAGTCTGACCTTCAATTTCCTTCATTCAAGTAATATTGATCTCCTAACATTCTTTTTTAAAACAGCATTTTTTAATTGTCCTTGGAGGCCAGGGATAATTAGGGAGTATAAATGAGTCTTGAGATAACAAACTATATTTCCTGTGGGATAAACTTTAATCTAATGGTGAGTGAGTTTGAATTTTCTCTAGGTCCTCAATAAGTAATGGATCTTCTTTGACCTTAATATGGTATTTTCTATCTCCAGTCATGACACCATGTATGTTTTTATTCAGGAAGGCATACTGAAGTCATTCATCATGCACTGATTTCCGCCTTAAACACATCTGAACAGCCAGTCTCTACCCTATCTCCTAAACACCCATCCTGCCCATTCCTCTAAGTGTCTCCTTCCCATCCTAGGACCGATGACCTCATGTGCTTGGCTGATTTCCCTACAGGTTTTCTTAAACTCACTCTTAATCCTCTCTTAGAAATCAGAGATTTTAATTTAATTTTACTTTTTTGGTGGTTCTGGGGTTTGAACTCAGTGCCTTATGCTCGCTGAGCCAGTGATATTTTAATACTGAATTTCTTTCAACCTCATTAAAAGGAAATAGAAAACTGGAAGGAAGGCATGCTCTAGATATAGAGATGCAGGATGTTAAAATTTCTTAATTGGAAGTGTTTAGTATTGGTGGAACAATGGGAAATTTGATCAAGAGAGATTATGGAGAGAGAGAGAGAGAGAGAGAGAGAGAGAGAGAGAGAGAGAGAGAGAGAGAGAGAGAGAGAGAGAGGTCAGCCTGAATTGTGGCTGATTGGGGTCAGGCAGGTCAGATGACAAAGGAGAGGTTCCTCAGTGAAGAAAAGCATGAGAATAATTACAAAGTATAAAATACAAAAGAAAATAGAAAATCAGAAGATGTAAATTTTCCAGCTAATTTCCAGAGAAAGTATGAAAATGTCCAATGTACAAATGAAAGATTCTCAAATTCACAAGTGGTCATAGAGATGTGAACTGTGAGGACTCACTGCTTCATACTTAGTGAGCGTGTAACGAGATAAATTTACTCTTGAAAATAGAAAATGTGAGGATTTGGAATTGGGCAGGTCTACACACGGATGATAATTAGAATACTTCCTTTGGAAAATAACTTTCCAAAATCTAACAAGTGTGAAATTATCCATTGCTTCAAAGCCAGCAATTACATTCCTAAACACCTTACCTCTAGGAGTGACAGAAACAGGGCAGGTGCACACGACGGTCTTGAATCACTGTCACTAACAAGGAAAGAAGTACCGAGCTACAGCCTTGCCCTCTCCCATGTAGTATTTTGTTCAGAAGCAAATCTTTCATGGATACCACAAAACAGGCATGCCCCACCCCCCATTTATGACCATAATGACTTCAGACATTTTCACTTTCTTACCATTACAAAAACACTCAATGTTTTACTCACTTGGCTGATTGCTTAGTAATTTGTTCTGACTCCCTATGTAGTAAGGTCATAGTGGTCAAAATTCTCATTGAGAAATTTGCCTTGTATGTTAGAGAAAAATCAAGCCACTAACATGTTTTGCAGTTTAAATCACTATTTCCACAGAGTTGTTGTTTTATTAAATATAGTCTGTTCCTTCCCCAAAGCACTTACAATAGCTTTAGGACCTAGTATACTCCAGAGAAAACAGGAATTATTGACTTTGCTGTGCTTAATTTAGAAGAAAAATAAATTATTCAGGTAAAACTGACTGATGAATAGCCAGAAGAAAACATTCAGCTCCCCTAGCTATTAGATGATAGGAGGACTGTGATTTGAGACCAGCATAAGCAAAAAAAATTACCAAGTCTCTCTCAATGGACAATCTGACTATCGAGGCATAGGTCTCTAATCCCTTCTATGTGGGAAATAAAAAGAGCAGGATTACTGTCCAAGACAGTGATATCCAGATGGATATTCCTAGAAGTTATCTTTGTGCTTACAAAATATTCAGTCACATTCAGGAATAAATGAGCACCTACAATTTCCACAATGATTGTTGAATTACATGAGGAAAAAAATACTGATTCAGTCTTCACAAACAAGTTCCTAGATACACTTGTAATCCATAATATTTAGCTCTAACTAATTAAATTATATTATGTGAACTACTATCATCTGAAAATTTAAAACTAATTATGTCACTTCTTCTTAAAAGAGAAATATCATTATTTTTGATTTTCTTGAAATTATCTCTGCTGAAATTCTTTATATTTTAATTTGTTATGTAAATAAATGCTAGACAACTTCATTCTATCCTTTGGGAGTTGAGAATTAATGTGAATTCAATAAACTGTGATGATCTAGAGAATTTCTGAAAGAATTCTTAAAGAACTCAGAAGTGAGAAAGTTTAGATTCCAAACCTGGAATATATATTAACTATGCAACATAAAACAAGCAAACGAACTTCTCAACCTTCAGTTTCCCACTTGAAAAAGAAAAACAAAGCAATAATAATATTGCCTGCTTCACAGGGTCATTGTGAATTTGAATGTTAAGTCCTTAGCATAGAAGCTACCATGAAGGCATGTGCTAGGTGTGTTAATAATGATAACACCATAATCAGTGGCCATGTAGCACAAGGCCTGGCCAGTGTTGGCAAGGTGAAATTAAGTAGAATGATTGACATTGTATGTACTCAGACAAATAGATGCTATCTCTGTGATATAAATGACAACTTGTAGCATTACTACTCTAAGTGTAAGTTATGAAGAATGTATCAACCAGTTTTGCTTGAAATCATCCACAATTCTAATAGAAGAAAGTTGTTTTGTTACTTTGCAAAATACTGTCAAGCATCTCAACTTTTACCCATTTATTTAGTTATTAAACACGTTCAGTTCATTGAAGATTTCTGAACTCTTAAGTGATATAGGACTGAAATTGTACAGAGCAGGCCAGAGAATCTTGAAGTAAGGACTCCTTCTCTTCTGCTGTTAATGTGTTTTTAAGAAGGAAAATCTCCTACAAAGTTGTAATGTACAATTCAGTTAGACTGAAGTAATGTTAAATATAGACTTTGACACTAATTGGAGAACATGAAGTTTTAAAACTTGACGTTGTATAAAGAATTCACCTAAAGCCAAGTCAAATTATATTTATTCAAAACTTAATAGCATTATCAGATTGGATTTTTCTTTAAAAAATACTAGCCTAGTTCTATCCAATAGAGATTTCATTTGAATAGAAATTGAGTGATCAGATTTTCCCCTCAGATTTTCCTAAGCTGTTCATCTGAAGATAATATCTTGAAAAAAATGGAGAAAAGAGTTCTATTAGCATGTGCCTTTAATAGTAATAATGCATCACTATTTTTTATACCTCTTTCTGCATCTAGATTATGAGTCTTCAAACAGAGATTTGGTTGTCTACAATTTTCTATCCCTATTGTGTTTCAGTCATTTGTATGTCAAAGCTTGAATAAAAATGTAAAGACACCTTTCACTTTTTATGGTGCTATATTGTATCTATCAAATATATGCAGAAAATTCCATAAAGCTTGTTGGCAGTGACCTTTTAATGGTAGTTCCTTGTAAATATACTGAGAACTTGAATTATTTAGGGGTGTGTGTGTGTGTGTGTGTGTGTTCCACCAGAAGGGCCAAAGAAATGCAAAGCAACGCTATCATCAATCAACATGAAAACAGAACAAAACACAGCAAAGCCTGAAGACCTTCCAGTTTCCCCACAGGCATGAGATTATGTTTCTTCCAAATACAGTTGTGAAACAGCCAGGAAATGGACTGCATGGGATCTCTTGACCCAGAGCTGTTGCGGGGGCTGATCAGGATTTCTCATGGTGCCAAGCCCTTCATAGCAAAAGGAGACTGGAAGACTCGGAGAGAGCCAGGTAGGGCCAGTGCCTGCTGTTGTGTCAGGACAGGGGAAAGCGGGGAGCGCTTTAAGGAAGCCTGAGTGCGGAAATTAGGGAAGCCTGTGAGGTCTTAGGCCTTGGGAGGTTGGTCTCCACCAGCCAGCAGAAGGGCTGGGAGAGACGAGTCCCCCTTTCCTGGGCGCGCAGGATCTCGGCAGCACAGCATGCACAGAGCACCGCATGGACCCCCTCTCAGAGGGGGGCTCGGAGTCCTGCTGGTTTCTGCAGGGATGCCAAAGGTAGGCCTTCCCCCAGAAGGCGCCTCCGCTGCGCCTCTCCGTGCGCCTCTGGGAGCTGCGGTGGGTGGACAAGAAGGTGCCATCTGAGCCGTCACACAAGGCGTGCTGAGGCCCCACGCTGGGACTCAGGGCCCAGAGGGACACCACGACTTGCCTTGCCCGGGGCAGAGGAAGGGTCTGGAGAAAGACCTTGCATGGAATGCCCATATGGGGTCTGCCGAAGGCTGAGAACACACTGCACATGGAGGGTGCAGACCGAACCTGCAGGCGTTTTCTTTTTTCTTTTTTCTATAACTACACAACATTTATTTACTTTGCACTAAGACTTTATCTGAGTACATAACTAAATTGTTTCCACCCCACCCCATCTTGAAGGGTTAGTTTGTGAATGTTATAAAGTAAATAGGAACAGTTTGAAGGACTGGAACCAACATTAACTGACAATGAACAACTTCCATCTAAATCATCATAAAAATGTTTAAGTAAAAAAAAGAAAAAGAAAAAAAAGATACAATGAGGGCCTTCAATAGAAAGATCCTCATTTCATCTAATACATTCGCTCTTGGCTAGACTGTAACAAAATGGAAACTGTTAATACCAACTCCCACTATAGTACATTGTACACACCTTGGTTCCAAGCCCACCCCGTGCCCTAATGCTTCCAACTCAATTATTTCCCAGCCTGTTGGGCCTGCCGACGAAGGAGTACGTAGATCTTCTCTTTGATCCAGTCTTTGTTATAAGGCTGGTATGTCTGGGTATCAGCTCGGTAAACAAGGCAGCTGAGATCTGCCAGATCGTCGATAAAATCAAACAACTGACTGATATCATACGTAATCGAGGGGCTATTGGGATTCATTCTCTTCAGACGTTCTTCATACATTTTACAAACACCTTCCATGCATTCATTCACAGATTCATAGTCAGCGTAAGTTCTGCCTTCTGGCCTCTTGGTAGGCTGCACCAGCAAAATGGTGTGAGACATCGCGCTAAACGCTTTGCTGCTGCCGCTGCTGCCGCCGCTGCTGCCGCCGCTGCTGCCGCCAACACCGCCGCCGCACACGAGCTCCCCTGCAGGCGTTTTCAGCCCGCAGGGCACCCGGCTACATCTAACACGACGTGGCATTTTGGAAATACAAAGGGATTTCAAGAAATGTTTCCTCCATCTCCTCTCTGTCTCTCTCTCCCTCTCCCTCTCTCTTTGTCTCTGTCTCTGTCTTTCTTTCTCTTACTAATTTCCCCTCACTTTCCTTTTCTTATTCCTTCTTCTCCTCTTCCCTTTCCTCTTCCTCTTTCCCTCCACTCCTCCTTCCATGCCAGGGAATTGAACTCTGGACCTTGTGCTTGCTCTTCCTTGAACTACTTTCATTGTTCATTGCCTTTTGTTTGTTTGTTTGTTTTTTAGTTTGGATAGAGTCTTCTGGTTTTGTCTGAGAGTAGACCTAGAGTGTAATGGTCTTCTATTCCTCCCTAGAGCTGGGACTAGTGTTACACCTGCCTTAGTTTTTTTTTTTTTTTATTGTGAAAATACTGTACAGAGGGGTTACAATTACATGAGCAAGATAATGAGTACATTTCTTATGAAGCAATGTAGGCTCCTCCTTTGTTTCCTTCCCATTCTCCTTCCCATCCCCCTCATCCTCTCCTCCCCCTCTCCCCCCACCAAAGTTGTAAAGTTCATTTTCGACATAACAACTTGTACATCTCATTGTTGCAATGGGCCCACCAGTATCCCTATTTAAATGATTTGTTCTTTCCCTTCCCCTCTACAAATTATATGGACATCTAATACAGTGAAAGCAGGGGTTATACTGTGGAGGAGGGACATACAAAGCAACAAAGAAATAATCTTATAAATGTGTTAGAAACAATCGCATGAAAGAAAAAAAAACATTTGAATACATATCTTAGGGTTCATTTCCCTAACATCACCTTATCTGACCTTTTCTGCTTAACTCAGACATATACTAGATATTGCAAATAAGGGAAACCGTAGGACCTATGTTTCTTTGGGCCTGGCTTACTTCACTTAATATAATTTTTTCCAAGTCTTTCCATTTCCTCACAAATGGGGCAATGTCATTCTTTCTGATGGAGGCATAGAATTCCATTGTGTATACATACCACATTTTCTTGATCCATTCATCTACTGAGGGGCATCTGGGTTGGTTCCATATCTTAGCTATAGTAAATAGTGCTGCAATAAACATAGTCATGCTGGTAGCTTTAGTCTAGTCTTGTTTGTAAACATTTGGGTAAATGCCCAAAAGTGGGCTTGCTGGGTCATAGGGGAGCTCTATGTGGAGTCTTTTGAGGAATCTTCATACTACTTTCCAAAGTGGTTGAACAATTTTACACTCCCACCAACAATGCAGTAAGGTTCCCTTCTGTCCACATCCCCTCCAGCATCAGTTGTTATTAAAGTTCTTGATTTTAACCATTCTAACTGGGGTGAGGTGGTATTTCAATGTTGTTTTGATTCGCATTTCTTTTATGGCTAGGGAGGTTGAGCATTTCTTCATGTGTCTATTGGCCATCCTTCTTTCTTCTTCAAAGAAGTTTCTCTTTAAGTCTTTAGCCCACTTATTTATTGGGCAGTTGTTTCTTTGAGGATTTGTTATTGGGGATTTAATTTTTTGAGTTCCAAGTATATTTTCAATATGAGACCCTTATCCGTTGTATGGCTAGTGAAGATCTTCTCCCAATCTGTGGGCTTTCTATTGATCTTACTAGTTATGTCTTTGCCATGCAGAAGCTATGCAATTTCATGCAATCCCATTTGTCCAACCTTTCTTTGATTTCTTGTGTTTCTGGATCTCTATTAAGAAAATTTCAGCCTATTCCAAGGAGACCTAGGGTTTCTCCTATTCTGTCCTGTAACATTTTCAGAGTGTCTGCTTTGACTCTCCCAGGTCTTTGATCCATTTAGAATTGATTCTGGTGCAGGGTGATATTTAAGGATCTAGCTTTAGTTTTCTACAAATAGTTAACAATTTTGCCAGCACCACTTACTGAAGAGGCTATTTTTCTTCCATTGTGTTTTTTAGCTTTCTTTTTGACAATTAGATAGCTATAGGTCTGTATTTTCATTTCTGGGTTTTCAATTCTATTCCATTGGTCCTGAGGTCTGTTCTTGTGCCAGTACCAAGCTTTTTTGATTACTATGTCTTTGTAGTAGAGTTTGAAATTTGGTATTGATATTCCTCCAGCACTGTGCTTTCTGTTGAGGATCATTTTTGCTATTCGGAGTCTTTTATTGTTCCATATGAATTTTTGGACTGCCTCTTCTATTTCCTTAAAGAATGAAGTTGGAATATTGATAGGTATTGCACTGAATTTGTAGATAACCTTGGGAAGTATTGCCATTTTCACGATGTTGATCTTTCCAATCCAGGAGCATGGGAGTTTTTGCCATTTTCTAAGTTCTGTTTTTATTTCTTTTTTCAAGTTTTTAAAGTTTTCATCATAGAGGTCCTTCACTTCTTTGGTTAAGTTAATTCCTAGGGCTATTACGAATGGAGTTGCTTTCCTAATTTCAGCCACACTTTTCTCATTGTTGGCATACAGAAAAGCCATTGATTTTTGAAGGTTAATTTTATTCCCTGTTACTTTGCCAAAATTTTGAATCAGCTTGAGTAATTTGGGAGTGGAGTCCATGGGATTCTTTAAATACAAGATCATGTCATCTGCAAAGAGGGAGAGTTTTACTTCTTCTTTCCCTATTTGGATCCCCTTTATGTTTGTATCTTGTTTTATTGCCGTAGCTAAGCATTATAATACTAGATTGAAGAGAAGTGGAGAAAGTGGACATCCTTGTCTTGTTCCTGAGTTAAGAGGGAATGGCTTTAGTTTTTCACCATTAAGTATAATGCTGGCTGTAGGTTTGTCATATATAGCCTTTATGGTATTGAGGAATGTGCCATGAATTCCTAATTTTTCCAGAACCTTCATCATAAAGGGGTGTTGGATCTTGTCAAATGCTTTTTCTGCATCTATTAAGATAACCATGTGGTTCTTATCCTTGCTCCTGTTGAGTGATGAATTATATTAATTGATTTTCGGATATTGAACTAGCTTTGCATCCCTGAAATGAATCGTGTAGCTTTGCATCCCTGAAATGAATCGTGTTTGATTGTGGTGTATGATTTTTTGGATGAATTGTTGAAGTCGATTGGCCAAAATTTTGTTGAAAAGTTTTGCATCAATGTTCATCAAAGAAATGGGTCTATAGTTCTCTTTCTTTGAGGAGTCCCTGCCTGGTTTTGGGATTAGGGCTATGATGGCTTCATAGAATGAATTCAGTAGTGACCTTTCTCTTTCAATTTCATTGAAGAGTCGGAGGAGTATTGGTGTGAGCTCTGCTTTGAAAGCCTTGTAGAATTCCGCTTTAAAACCATCTGGTCCTGGGCTTTTCTTAGATGGGACGTCTCTTATTGCTGTTTCTATTTCAATGCTTAATATGTACCTGGTAAGATGGTTTAACTCATCTTGGTTTAGTTTTTGCATGTCAATATTTGCTAGGAAAAGATCCATTTCTGCCAAGTTCTCCAACTTATTAGCATAAAGTTTTGAGAGCTATTCCCTCATAATGTTCTGAATCTTGGTTGTTTCTGTGGTGATGTTTCCATTCTCATCTCTGAGTTTATTTATTTGGGTGTGTTCTCTTCTTTTTCTGATAAGATTTGCTAAGGGTCTGTCTATTTTTTTAATTTTTTCGAAGAACCAACTCTTTGTTTTGTTGATTCTTTCTATAGTTTTTTTTAAAATTCTAATTCACTTAATTCTGATTTAATTTTAATGTTTTCTTTCCATCTACTGGATTGGGGTTTATCTTGCTGCTAATTTTCAGGGAGGCTCAGATGTCTCATTAAATTGTTGGTTCCAGATCTCTCCAATTTGCTGATGTAGGAACTCAGAGCCGTAAACCTGGCTCTGTGTATTGCCTTTGCTGTGTCCCAGAGGAGCTGGTAGTTTGTGTGTTCATTTTCGTTGAATATCATGAACATTTGAATTTCCTTTCTAATCTCTTCCATGACCCACTCGTGTTTCAGCAGTGTGCTGTTCAGCCTCCATGTGTTACAGGACTTTCTTTGGTGGCTTTTGGTGTTAAGTTCTAATTTTATTCCCTTATGGTTTGAGAGAATGCAAGGTATAACTTAAGTGTTTCTGAATTTGGACAAGTTTGCGTTGTGGCCTAAACTGTGGTCTATTTTGGAAAATGTTCCATGTACTGCTGAGAAAAACGTGTATTCTGATGCTGCTGGGTGAAATATTTGGTAGATGTCTGTTAAATCTAGTTGATCTATGCAGTTGTTTAGATCTGCAGTTTCTCTGTTGAGTTTTTGCTGAGTTGATCTATCTAGTGGGAAAGTAGTGTGTTAAAGTCCCCAACAATTAATGTCTTTGGATCTATGTGGGATTTGAGGGAAAGTAGTGTTTCTTGGATAAATATGGGTGCTCCATTGTTTGGTGAATAGATATTTGGAATTGTAATATTCTCCTGAAGGAGAGATCCCTTAATTAGTATGTAGCGACCTTCTTTATCTCTTCTCATTAATTTTAATTTGAAGTCTATTTTATCTGATATTAGGATTGCAACTCATGCCTGTTTATGGGGGCCATTTGCTTGGTAGATTTTGTTTCAGCATTGCACAATTGAAAATGTGTTTGTTTTTATGGGCAAGATGTGACTCCTGAGTGCAGCAGTAGAAGGATTTTGCTTTTTAATCCAACTAGACAGTCTATGTCGCTTAATTGGGGAGTTAAGTCCGTTAATGTTGAGAGATAGAACTGAGAGGTATTTGGGAGTTCCTGTCATTTTATCCACCTTCTTGGGGGTTGCAACAGCTGGGTTCTTCCTATGGTTCTTGGATTCTCAGTTTGGATGCCAATGTTTCTTGGCCTTTATTGTGGTCTTGTTGGTTTTCTATGTGTAGGACACCTTAAGAATCTTTTGTAGGGCTGGTTTGGTGGAGATACATTGTTTCAATTTTTCTTTGCTATGGAAGGTTTTTATTTGACCTTTGGTTATGAAGGAGAGTTTAGTTGAGTACAGTATTCTTG